GCCAACATCCACACATGAAAACAGCAGAAAAGGTCAGCATGCCAGCATTTTATTGAGCTGTCATCACCCAGTAATGTGGAAGGATATATTTTTTGTTGCTTCCTCCTCAAACCTTTACAAGAGCAAACTGCGAAACTATTCAAAGTAGAACAAAATGAAATCGTTGATGGTTCTGCCCAAAAGGCGAAAGAGCCAGAGATAGACCCATTTCAAAACCGTCTGGGGACAGGATGTCCTCAGCACCGTTTGTAGCAATGTCAAAGGCGACTGCCTTCTTGCCGTGCTTCTCGAAGGTTTTGGCCACTTTGCGGGAGCGGCTGTAGAAATCGACACATGCAAGGTCCTGCTGTCCGATCCAACGCTGACCTGCGAGGTCGGCAGTTTGATATTCAAATCTTTACACTTACTGTATTGGGCTTACCCCACCCAAATAACTCCAAAACAATATCTTTCAAACACCCGCGGTTGGTCTTTATTACTTCCTATTTTTTATTTCTGGCAAGCGACAGATTTCATTGAGGTATGGCATGTGCTCCCATGCACGAAACCACTGCTCCTCTGCCAGTCCCGTTGTTGTGTCCAAATGCTTCGTTCCCTCGGTAGCTCCCAGCCACATCAAGAACCACCACATGAACGCCATTGCTCAACAATAATACCACACACTACCACGCAATGCCTCCCTGAGCCAAAGAAAATCTAATCGGGGAGCAGTGTACTCCTGTCAACTCCCAACCACTCCTGTCAAACACGTCGGAATGACTAAATAGTTCACCGTGAGCTCCACCCCAACTGCAATGTCACACTTGGCGACAACCTGATCAATCAACACGGATGAAACCGGAGTTGCATATTTTGTCACCAAATACCATCATCTCCAACGATTTGAGGCCTTACCTGTACGATCTATAAGATCTATAAGAAGCACTAAGAATACTCAGGAAAGGGCTAGTTATCAAGCCTAGGGACTGTGCGCTCCTTGCCAACAGCACATGTGGGATTGCACGAGTGGTTCATCCACTGGCACATCCCGTGCCCCACAACCTCTCCCTCATTGATGGCTCCCTGGGCAAAAAGGCCTAAGCCCTTGCCTCCCACCGGCACCCGCACGAGATGCATCTCTCGTGAGAATTCTGACAGCCAAAATGGCTTCAAGAGTTCATCCAGGCGGATTTTCGCAAGAAAGAAACATGACAGATTGCTGCATATATCCAAGAAAAATGACCTTCCTTTCAGATTGGATGAAATAACGTCGAAACACGCAGCAGTGAAAACGGGAAGTGTGAAGCATGGCATGGCTTCACAAGACTGTCATAACTTGCACCTCCTGGACAACAAACTGAGGCTTCACAGGTGTTCGATGCATGTGGCTGTGGAGAGGTGCAAAATGTGCACAGGGCATGCATGTCAGAACAACTCAATAATAGTAAACTTGACTCAGCTAAAATTACCTAGTCCAACCTCTGTTAGTATTATTGACTGCTGTTGGCCTAAGGCTTCAAAAAAGACACTGTGGCTAAAGTGACTTGGCTAGAATGAGGGGGTCCAACATCTGTTGAACATCTGTTGATCATTCTAGCCTCCCTGGTCTAGCTCCATGATCCATGATGTTCAAAATTAGCCAGCCCCAAATGGGGTCGGGTCCCTGGCTAAAATGCGTTTTAGCCAGGGGGTCAAGCCACCCCATCCTAGCCAGGCTGGCCGGACGGGTATAGTCACTTCTTGTGAGATCAGACATACACCAAGCTCCATGAGGGCATTGTGGGGCGAGTCCCAATAGCTGGTTGGTAGTCCAACACGAGTCGTTCTTCAGCTTGAACGGGTGTTTGACAGCTCCATCCGGATAAAAGTACACATGTAAGTCCATGTCACTCCAAAAACATGAGAATCATCGACGTTTCCAAGAACGCCAACGTCGATCCAGAAATTCACAGGGTCGACGGGGTCGAGAGAAGAAGAAGCACATACGGAACCGCATGCGCTTCGCAAAATCCTGTCGAGAGGCTTGGTGGTCTCATGTCCCTTTGAACCGAAAAGAGCGGTTGAGATGACCACTACCCAGTCGCCGCCCAGCGACCGTATTTCCCTCGAGGCTGGGCTCGGCTTCCAGCATCAGGCTGGGGCGCAGCGGAACAGCCTGTGCCGTGTTGAAGTCTGTAAGGATCCACCAAAATCCAAACGCATCCAAAAGGGTTCATGGGTGTTCGATGGTGATGCGATCTGACATGAGAACGCTTCACAGAAACTGTGATTTTAGTGGATACTCCAAAGATCCTCCTATACTGTCACACATGAAACAGAATGGAAGCAGCCCCCCAACACGTACCGTGAAGGACAACCTTCTTTTGCCAAAGTGAAAAAAGCCTTTCCTTTCCCGGTAGATTGTAGATATCGCCCAAATACTCCATACTGCAGGTTGTTAATATATATTTATAAAACATGTGCATGTGTATCCAATCTTTTAGGATCTTTTAGGCTACTCGCCTTCAACTGGCTGCCCCCGTCACCTCACCTGCTTGGTCGTCCCCAAGTGGCTCGGCAACGCATTCGTGCGAGCGCCGCGCTGAAGAGCCTGTGATGCACACGCCACATGCACACCGGTAGTTTAGGCCAGTTGCGATGTGGATGGGGTGCCCAAGTATACACCTGTAGCCTGTAGGGCATAATAAGAGTGGGTTCAGGGTCTTTCTAAGCTCCGCCCTTGGTGCAGAGGCCATGTGCCGTCCGAGCCGGTCCGTCGTCGGCGGTGGTTCCGTCGACCTCAGAATCCAAGCTGTGCAAGCCACCGAAAAGGGTACTGTATGGTACTGTAAAAGTACATTTCATTGCAAATCTCTTGTTTGGATCATTGGATCATCTACCATTAACAATTGGGGGCCACCCTCACAAAGGGTATCGCACCACGAATCCTAGTACACAAAAAGCATCGTTGCAAATCAAAGGTGATGCAATCATTCTGACAAAATTGTAGTCTCACGTTCAAACCACCTCTTCACTACCCAGCTCAGGATTGACCAAATGTATCATGAGTCACAACTCTTGAAATTGAGGACTCTTGGAAGTAGTTTGTAGACTTATTCCTTGGGTGTTCATCCGGTTTGCCTCGTTTGACCAGCTCTAGGATGTGCAAAGACCACCAATTCACCTCAAAAAGAACAAAACTCAAAAGGCGACCTCAAACGATCTCTAACGTTTCATGAAACGGTTCATCCTCCGTGTCACCCCGGTTTCCTGAATGCGGTCCTCCAAAGGTTCTCCTTGTGGGACCTGCAGGATCACCTGCTGAGGTAGCGCAGCACACACCTCCAGCCACAGCGGGGGGGAGTCTAACGACTGCTCAAATGCGCCCCAAAGGCGCCACTAAAACCAGGAGCAGAAGAAACCGCTGCCAGCGTGGTTTTCGGTGACACCCCGAATCCAAGCCTCAGCTTCATTTACTTGGCATTGGCCACAAGCATGCACATGTCATATCGGCCATTCCTGCCTCCTCCTCCTCCGACCAAGCGCCACCCATCGCATCCCCAGCAGCGTCGCAGCTATGGCAAATGGCTGTGTCAAACCGTGAATGTTGATGGAGTCGCCTTTGCTGTTGATGTCGATGTCTCAAACTTTCTGAAACGCACATAGCGAGCATGCGTAAGTCGCCTCCCATGTCGTCCGAGAAGGCTTCCGAATTTTATGTTCCGTTGTTTTCTCCAGGCTGAGGACTGTGGGTCAAGCCGGGGCAGTCTGCATCGAACGCAAGATTATTGGACCAGTCGGTCCAGGACTTTCTGCTTCTAGTGAATCTTCGTTGGCTCAAGTCTGCGGTCAACATCCAGACATGCCTTGACTGACTTAGAAAGCTGTTACAGTTTAACGTGTAAGCTCCTCACACGTGGGTTGGGAAGACTGCTCCCCTCTTCCCAGGGACCAAGCCTTTTGCCCTGCATGCCCTTCTGAACCCATTGGCGGTGTAGTAGTTCATGGCACAGGCATGAACATGGTAAGCCGGTAAGCATCTACGAAAACAGTAAACCCGCAACAACTGTGGGAATCCTCCGAAACATCGCACCTGGGAATCCTTCCGGGCTCCCCAATTCCGCCGGATTAGATCGGGGGGGACCATCCCCAGAACTGGGCTCCACACCATCTTTGTGAGCAAATTCTCCACCTGCTCATCGGATAAGCGTTCGCCTCCGCTGCGGTGAACCCACGTTGAGAGGACCTGAGAGGACCTGAGATGAGGCCTGTGAAACCTCACAAGGTGAGACTTGGATTCGCCCAGTGAACGTGTTCCCATGCGATTCATCCTTGAGCATCTGGTTGGCACGCTACAAATCTCAAACCTTTTCCAGGGGTTCTTAGTCTACATCGGATTCGATAGGGACCAGGTTTTCTCTCCCCCCGGCAGGTGAACTCCTGCGGAGCGTCCGTCTCTCTCCACTGCGCCTGACTTCTTGAGGATCCGGTCACAAAAGGAGGACATCAAGGCCGCGAAGGAGTACTGCGCGGTGTGCGGATTGCGGGTTGTGGAAACCGCAGCAGCAGCAGGATGGAGTCGGGACACTGCCCTTAGAGATCACCACTTTGACAAGACTAGGCAACTATACGCAACTACTCAGTGCTGCTGTGTGCACCACAAGTCTGAGTTGAACCTCAGATGCTGCCAGGCCTTCCCGATGTCCCGGTTCACGAAGACTTCAAAGGCTGGGCAGCGGAGATGATCAGGGGAGGCGGTGGAGGGGAAGCGCCTTCTGGAAGAAGACACAGCAATGATGGAGTGGCATTGAAGAAGGTTGTGTCGGATCCCCATTACAATGGATGAGTAGCCCCACAAGAGGTAAAGCTGAAGCTCAACCACCGCAGAAAGCAACAACCAGTCGTCTGCCATCGTTTCAGGGCCAATCCTGCTGGGAGCCCATGTTCAGAGCCCTTCCGGTCCATCAATCCAAGTTCGAGATTGCTCAAGTACAATGTCATAGTGGTTGAAGCCTGTAGGAGAATGGAACGGACTGTGACCTCAGGCTCTGAGAAGCTTCCAAGTTCTCTCAGCTCGATCCCAAGGGATCGAACGAGACATCCAGCTCTCTACTCCAGCTCTCTACTCCAGGCTGGACCGCTCCCAACAGCCAAAAAAAAACACCCGCCTTCTTTAAGAGACTTCTGAAAGCGCGAATCCTGAGAGAAGCACTCGTTCACGATGCCTGGAAACGCAAATTCTTTGGCACGCCCGTGGCGAAGCCGCGCAGCGGAGCTTAGGCCGCACCAGGGAAGGCCACGTCCAAGGTGTCAGAACAAAACATAGAAACTGACCATTTTCGGGAGAACCTGTACCTTATTGGTTTGAGGGATTGGATAGATGCAACTTGCTTCTCTTCGGAGGTTGTGTCACAACATGCCCATCCTCACCGCCACGTGTGAATGAAGTGGATCCTGCCGTGGTCCGAAGCAACCAGCCTTTGAAGCGGTCGTGGAGCTCCAGCAACGTCTGGATGAAGGCTGGGTCCTTAGCTTCTCCATGATCTAGAACGCCGAAGGCCTGTTGAATACTTTGAAATGCCTTTTTGACGAACCTGAGAAACTCTCAGCGCGAAACTCCCGTGCATACCGTCAGACTGTCAGATTCACTACATCTCCCAAACCTTAGCACAACTTGAAGCTCCCTTGTTTAATCCCCCTATCTTGGGGTGAAAGCTCAGCTCCTGCATGGCTCCTTGGCCTCCCAGCGTTCAAGGCCTCAGTCTTCGAGCTCACCTGTTTCTGCTGTTCCACGCGCTCATCCACAATCTGATTCCCCCTGGCGTTGGCGGGACCGGACGCTCATGACAGTCCAACCCGACGCGAAAGGCAGCTGGTGTGGTTGATCAGAGTCTGCGTTGAGCCTGAAGGATCCCCTGATGAACGTGTCTCAACGTGAACGTGTCTCAATCGTGTCCTGTCATGAATCCTTTTGGTTCCCGTTCTCTTGGACCATCTTCCTCACTCGGATCCAAACCGGTCCAATCTCAATCTATCTTGCTGTGACTCAACTTACTACTAGTAGCTTCTAGTAGCAAGAAGCTACTAGAAACAAAGGGCATCGCTACTAGGAACAAGAAGCTATATACTAGTAGCTCTTTGGTCATGTCGAATGAAAGAGGACGACTTCGAAAGTTTCAATGATGCTCCTCCTCCGACCCTGGCCTATCGGTCACATACTGTCGGAAGGACTGGGCGATGGGGGCTAGGCCTTCCAGTCGAGTCGGCTCTGCGTCCGAACGGTCAGCAGCAGAGTCGGACCAAGTGCCAATTCTGCGTGGGGAACAAACAGGGCGACAAAATCGCCTCCAACCGCTGCAAGATGCGCCCAAAAAGTCTGAAACACGAGGTCTCCCAGCGCGGAGGTTCTGAAAGAACTCCCCTCCCCACCCAGGCACAGCTGATCGAGTTCACTCTGCAAAGATCACCCAAGCCTCACCTGATCCCTCTGTCCCCTCTGATCTCTCTGAGCACCCGGGCCATCTTCCACCAAGGAGAACATCCGATGCATTCGTGCCAAATCCTCGATTCAGGACATCTGCCACCGTATTATCGAAAGGGAGCTTCAGCACCACTGCTACCGATTCCCTGAGAAAGCACAAGTCAAGATGAGGTCTGTGAAATCAATCATCTCAAATGGAAAGGAAAAGCTTGTCAAGAAGGGAAGGGAAGGGAAAGGGAAAGGGAAAGGGAAGGGGAAGGGGAAGGGAAAGGAAAGGGAAAGAAGGAAAGGAAAGGAAAGGAAAGGCAAGGGAAGGGAAGGGAAGGGAAGGGAAAGGAAGCGAAGCGAAGGGAAGGGAAGAGAAGAGAAGAGAAGACACCGTCAATCGCAGTTGGCAGCCCCTTCGGTGTTTAGATCTCCTGTCTATTCGGCCCTTTGCCACTGTCCTCTCGCTTGTCATTGTCCAAAAGGTACACCACGCCGGTCTCTTTTTCCTGGCCGCGCGTGTCCCTCTGTGCACTTCAGGTGAAACAGAATAATCTTTAAACTTTAATCTTGAATGTCTGGCTCTACGTGGGCCTATTGGGATGTGCGCTTGGGGTCTAAACTCTATGCTCATAAGTTAGGGGTCACTCGACGTGCAAGGAACAAACTTCTGCTTTGGTATTCTTGGACAAAGAAAATCACATCTTCCTTGTCATATACTGGGAGCAGCCACTTTGGCACATACCAATCACCAATCTCCTGCTTCTTTACATCTGACAGTTTTGGAGGGTTCGAAACAGTCAGATCACAATCTTCATCAATCTACACTGTGATTGTAAAGGTCGAGCTACTTTTCATCACTGGGCTTTGAACATATTGGAACAGCTGTTCTCTGAACGCTGAACCCTCCCAGACTCCCAGGTCGCCCGGCCAAGAGCTGCCCCTGCGGCGCGGCCAACACCGCTTGGATCACCACCTGCAAGCCCGTCGTTCGCGAGGATACCGGTGAGCAGTTGGTTTGAAGGGATGGATCCCCGAATCCTCGAGCGTCTTTTGGTCAGTCAGAAATATCTGGGTAGCCATGCGCACTGGGCCACCCCTGCAAGGTTTTCTTCCTAGTACTTTTGTCATCTGGATCATGTTGACGCTCCCGAAAGAATCGGGAAAGACGGAGGTAGCGCTGCATCGCCACCGGGTCAAAGCGTAAGGATCCCAAACCCGGGCAATGGTCGTGAAAACATCCCCAAGTGAACCGCATGCCTGGTTTGAAAAGAAAACCAAAAAAGAAAAGGACCCCCTTTCGTTCCCCACGCGGCCCTTTGTAAAAGAAACGGTCATCTTTTGAAGACTTGTTGCCGCTGGACACTGCGCAGAGAACTTCTGGGAGAAAGCGACCTCTCCCTGGGGCGCCGGGCGTTTTTCAATTTCGGAAGAGTCGTCCTGGACCGCGTCGATCCGTCCGTGAGTGCGGAGGCGGGGTCGTCACACGACAACGCGACCGATCGGGACAGGTCCTCCATTCGGAGAAGCACGTGGGCAACATTGGGCAACCCGGCAACCCTTCACATCGACAGAGACCCGGGCGTTCACCCTCCGTTTTTTTCCCGAGAGACCTCCAAAAAGGGGGGACGCCAACAAGATGTGTGGAAAAGCTCTGCACAGAGTCTCCTGCTGAGATAGTTGCAACATCTTTGCTCTTCCGCTTGCAACGCCGCCTTGGAAGCCACGAAAGACATGTCGCATGTGCTGCACGAGAACCGATCTTGGAACCAACGAGCCAATGTCAGCCAATGTCAAGCCTCTATGTCATGCCTGCTCCTTCTTGATATCTGCAGATCATGTCCGGGTGAGGTTTCGTAGGGAGACCACAAGAGACACCTTGTTCATCCGCAGTTGGGTGACAAATTTTCGTACCACCTGTGGAACGCGGGAGGTACCTGTGGAACGCAGTGCTATTTGCATGGATGCACCAATGGATCTTGTCTGCTCATGACAAAGCATCCGCTTTTGGAGAGCCATCGACATGGCTTCATCCCCATCTACCCCAAGACTTGGCCCTAGCTTCTCACTCTGCACCACACTCCGCACCTCTGCTTTGCGCAGATACTCAGGGAACGAGTCTTCTGAAAGCCAGCCTGTCGAGTCGGAAACGGTGCCATCACGGCGCGGAGTCAAGTCGAGACCTGCTACAGGACCTATGAGCCAGGGTGGGAGGCAGCCTCTAAAGTCTAGAGATCAGGTGAACTCCAACTGAGGGGCCGTTTCTTGAGGGGCCGCATCTTGAATCAGCCCAAGTATCTCAGCCCATTTTTTCGGTATGACGGTATGACGAATCGATCCCAATTGTTGGGTTCATCAATTGAACACCAAGTATCGCGCACCGAAGGAGGCCACCGAGAACACCCACCTGAGGCTTGCCGGACGAAGTAGCTGCTAGTGGCGGGCAGGAAAGCTTCCTGGCACCGGCAGGCGGTTCGGACTTGGCCGACAACCGAACACGGAGCCCACATGACGAACGCAGGCCTTTAAACGGCTTTGCACAAGCATGACACCGGTGTCTTCCACTTCAGAATAGGGGCATGCCGGGTTTCACACTCTTCAAGATATCAAAGGTGCTACTGTTTATTGATATCGCAAGCACCAGGGTCAGATTCTGTTGCGGCACACCTTCCCAACTCGAATTCCGGTCAACAAATTCAGTTTGTGTGGAGAAACCCACAGAGCATTTTCAGAGGGACCCAGACTGCTGGACTAAACAGACTCTACTGACTAAACCTGGCTGGATTGTTCATATTTTGAGAACACACATCACTCAACTGAATCTTTTGAGAATTTGATACCTCTCCCCCAGAGCTAGAAGGACCTCTGACGGCCTCGAATTCGGTGTTGTACAGGTTTGGGCTGTTCAGGCCAAGGTCAATGAAGATCTCGATGACGCCTCGTCAAACAGAGGCCCAACACCGGTGGCCCTTGTGGAAGAACCACAACGGCTAAATCGACGATGTTCGCGTCACGGGAAAATTCAGCTTCTGACTTGTAGCGATGCCCTTGTTACTAGTGACTTCTTCTTACTAGTAGTAATGCCAGGAGCTACTAGTAGTTTCTTACTCCTAGTAGCGATGCCCTTTGTTACTAGTAGCTTTCCCAAGATCTTGACCAGTCATCTTTTTCACTGCAACGTCTTCAATCCTTTCAAGCTACAGTAGCAGTCCAGCATCCTTTACAAAAAGGTGGGCATGCATGTGGGCTCGGCACCAAAGGGACCGATGCGTCCCCGTCGCAAGATCTACGAAGCTCTTCGTTGAAAGTCTACGTCCGGTCAGAGAACACACCAGATGGCCCAACCCTTTTCAGCCCCCCATCCGCGTTGGGCTTTTCGACCAAAGGCTTCAACGAAGCACCGGTGTTGGTCCCGGTGGACCGGTGCTGCGTTTAAGCCGAGGTGGGAACCCGTCACCGAAATGGCGGGAACCCGCTCCAATCGAAGCTCTGCCAGGCCGAGCCTTTTACCAAGTCCTGGTCGATATGCTCGCCTCGAGCTGCGTGCGCCAAAAGCAAGGGACAGGAAGGACAGTAAAAAAGTGCAAAAAAAACCACGTGCCCTGCGAGTTGGATGAGTAGACCCAATGGGGTTGCGACTTCCGTCGTCGGAAGTCGCCTTCAACAAGAAGCCACCAGACCCTGCAAAGAACGAGATGAAAAATGAATTGTGGGCAGGCCCTCCTCTTGCCGAGCACGTCCAGCTTGCGCTTTACCCCCGGCCTTGTCGCTCCTGATTGATAATCTTCAGCAAGGCTGCCCGAGTATCTTTCATGACCTGTGTGAACACCTCAGAAATCCCAAGTGTTGAAGTCATTGTGCAAAAGAGCTAGATCACAACATTGGGAGCACAAGTGCAAAAACCCATATATCTTATAACTTCCCATCAAGTGTTGATCTGGCATGTCTACCCTATAGCCCTCAAGAGCAACACAGTAGTCACAGTAGTAGGCCTTCACTTCCGACGGAACATGACGGAAGGATTCCGATTGGCTCGACTTCAGAAGATTCACATCTTTGGACAGTCGGACAGAGGACAGAAGTGATGAGTTTTGCCACATCAACTGCTGATGATGATGATGATGATGATGATGATGATGATGATGATGATGATGCGGAAGTTTTGCCCATCATCCAACCAAAGTGGTCCGCCAAGGAGACGGGAAGGCGTCGAGATTGATTCGTTTCGATGATTCGTGCCTTTGCTCATGGACAGCAGCTTCGTCCATGCAGCTCTGGAGAGACAAAACTTAGTGTTTACAAGGGGAAGTCCATGGCCGCTGCTCCGAACTTGGATGGGCAGATCTCGAGTTTTGAAAGCCTAAAAGGCCACGGTGAAAACACGTGTTTTCATCCTGCTTGGGCTCATCTCCTTGCAACCTGGGTCTTGTCTGCCATGTCACAAGCTCTTGTTGAGGCCATGAATGACTTTACAAAGATCACATACCAAAGAACTTTGCTTATGGAACCTCTTACAGAATGCTACCGATGAGACATGATGAGACCAAAGCCGAAGCCTGCTCAGCCTGCTCGTCGCGCATACTTAGACTCTGGCCTTGACATACCTTGACATACCTTGACATACCTTCCTGGGTTTGAACTCCTGAAGGTAGCGGAAAAGGAACCTCTCAACGGTGAATGGTGCATCGTCCAGAGGCGACCATTCTCAGAAACTCAATCTTCGGTGCAGAACCCAATCCCAGCTCAGCTGAGACAGTGCTAGTTGCTGCTCAGGTTTGGCTGCTCAGCTCCAAGGTCCAAGCTTGCTGGTTGAAAATGCTGTAGCCCCGGTTGTGCAATGGCTCCACGGACTGCAGCTTGACATAGTACCTATCCTGGCAATGCTGACAGCAAGGACTGGACATGCCAACTGCGGTCTACACTCAACAGAAAGCGACAGGCACAACTGGCACGCTTGTCACAATCTTCAAACCCTGCCGCATTTTAGAAGGTCTTGAAGCTGTTGAAACGAAATCCCAACCACAAGCTGCCTGATGAATATACTTAAGACCTCAAAATGATATTACTTGGGTCTATCCCATTAGTAAAAGCCTTTCTCTGAAATAGTGATAATAATTGTTTATTGACTGTTGCAGGTACAGTAATGGGACAGACCCAAGATCTTCCAATATTTCTTAGTGGTGGATTCAGAAGCTAGCTAGCTAGCTGTAGTCACCACCTATTTGCCAAATGCATCTTTACCTTGTCAAAGTCTCCACCTCTTTAACTTGGCCGAAAATGGGAAAAGACGAGGACTGGAAAAGGGTGGTGCCATTTTCACCGCACAGAAACCCTCGGGTGTGCATCATCGTCCATCCCTTCACTTCATCAATCGGTTGTCTCATCAGTAATGCAACTGAACCTCTTCCAAAAACGGCAATGACTCAAACCGAATGCAGCAAGCGACGAAGGGTCTCAAGCATCTTTTGGCAGCTCTGGCCGGATCGGAAGCCGTCTGTGGTCCGCAATAAAGAACTTTGGTGTTGGAAACTCCAAGACATGGCAGGCACACCAAGTAAGTGAAGAATCGATCCATCCATTTGACGTAGATCTTGTGGTTCGACCACCTGAAAGGTTGACGTCAGGCGCACCCAACGTGCATGGTGATGATCAACCCGTATCAATGGAATCGGGTCAGAACTGAAGGGTCATCATGTTCATTCTTAGATTCTTCTAAGGCCCAAGAGGTATTGGCCAGGGTGAAGTCTTAGTATGTTGCAGTTCTCAATCGGTCGATCATCGACAGCCGACAAGATCTAAAGTTTAGCTGCAGAGTGCGTCTCCACAGCCTACACCTCACAAACGCCTTCCGGTTTCCCTCTTCAATGTCTCTGCAAATCGATTACCCAGCTTGCTAATCTGCTGAAACAAAAGATCTGCAAAAAGGAGCTTTCAACAATGAAGCTGTGCTGAGTGCTGATGATCACACCCCAGCTTTGCAATTTCTGCCCTTGTAGATGCGATCCATTGAAGACAACAACGTCAGTTTCTGCCCGTCTCATCTGCGGATTTTTGACCTGGCACAAATGCCTAGATTGTCTGACGATGCCGATGATGGTCTGAGACAAAGTGATTGTCTTGATTCCCAAATGGTGTATTTGGAAAAATGTTGATCACAAATCCTCCCAAACCCACCTCACCCACACCGCCCATCTACCATCCTGGATGTTCGACCCAATGGCCACAGTGCCTATGGAGGAGCTCCTTCATCAAGGCAATCTCTGTCTTATCCTTCAAAGCTGGTAGCACCTGAAGAGCTACCGCAGGACGCGAAGCCCACCGTACCTAGGTCCTCTTGGAAGTTCCGCAAAACAATGCAAAATAGCTAGCAGAGCCATGAAACATCATTTGGTCACTTTGCCACTTATCATCATGTCTGAAAGCACATGCGGTGCATGACCTAGACGTTGCTTTAAAAGAAACACTGCTTGGTCCGGAATCAGTACACTGATCGAAACTCGTCTTGGACCCCCGATGAAACACCATGAACTGGACTTAGTGGCTCAAAAGCTGTAGATAGAAACGCCTGGCTTGTAAGTTGATTCGTATCAGCAGTAACTGCATGTGAATGAGATCCCTGTGGCATCACAGCACGGCAAAAAAGGCCATCCGCGTCCGCGTCGCTCACTCTAGAAGGCTGCACGGTGCCCAAACCACTCGAAAAGGGATCCAAACTTGGCGACTGCATCTTTACCCCCACCTGATAGTGGCAAGAGGCCCAACAGCTTGAACCAAAGGCAGACCCTCGGCACCGATACCGGATACCTGACGGGACATCATGTTATTGTTCATCTACCGAGGCAACAGCTGTTTGGGATTTCGACCTGTCGCCAGCACTTTCCATCTATTCCAGGATCCCCCCCGACCCAATCCCCCAAACCCACCCAGGCTTGACGCAGCACCTGACGCTGCACGTAGTCAGACATCGCTTCCCCATAACGCCGATAGAGATGTTCGGACCTGGCCGAAAGAGGAAAAAAAGGCTCGGAGCGGCGAAAACGTGTCAGGCTGAAGGTCTAGGGAGTTGCGGAGGTTGAGAAAGCTCCGAGGGAAAAACTCGACAGCTCTATCTTGGAAAATTCGATACTGCCAATCATGTCTGTGTGTATTGTCGCCGAGCACCCTAAGACAGGGCAGTCCAACACGCGGCAAGACAGCCCTACCGGATTTTCATCCTGCACAACGCAGGAGGTGATCAGTTATATACAGTACATGGCCATTCACATCACCTGGTTGAGAAAAATATGGATGTGGAATGTGGATCAAACATTTGTAGCCCAGTGATGGCTGCATCGGAAGGGTTTCAAGACTGTGAATACATAGCAGTTCAATTCTGACCCACAGGTAGAATCTGGATGAATCCGGTGGGTGGGACAGCCAGATTCAGCTGGGAAGACTTCTGCAAATGTCACACCGGCCAAACCACCCTCTCCGACTTCTGCAAGTCTGTCACAAGAGTCCACCGAGTCCGCGCACCAATTGTTGGGAGTCCGCTGGGTGCACATGTTGTAGACGGTCCTCAGTGAGCCAAAACCCTCGTTAAGCAAGGGAAGGAGTTTCACGAGATCAAGCGAAGTAAGAAAATGCTCGGCGCCTGCTTTCCGGACGCCCTCCTCAATGTTCCAAAGAATCCATATGAATCCATGAAGCGTTGACAACCACCTGAGAACCCATAGCTATACCTTGAGCCGTAGTGCCTAATAGAAGAAACTCCTCTATCTCCGGATCCACCCCTCCTTCTGTCCCGCTTCGCCAAGTCACGTGTAGAGCTCCGCATAGTTGGCTTTGCTGAAGATGCGAGGCTTCGTGGGATCTTGGTTCTGAGGCACCTCACAAAAAAGGTGGCAGCCCGTGGCAGAATGCCCCATTCGACGAGTTGTTTGGGTCCAAGAAGCGCTCCGCAAATCTAAACGGAACTGCATCAACTATACTGTTGTGGGTCTTGAGGAAAAGGCGTTGGACTGCGTCTGGCTCCTTTGTGGTGTCAATTCTTCGCTCCGAGCGTGGAGACGTCGACCCGAGGAACCACGGTGAGCTGATACGGACCGCACGGACCGCAGGTGCCGAGCTTCGGACTGCTGATCTAATGTGTCCAGTGTCCAGGAACTCTTCCAGAACCTGATGAAAACACTGATGAACCTGTTTTGGAACCTGTTTTGTCCAGGAACCTGATGGGACCGGGCAAAACATCTGTTGAAAAAACTGCCAAAAATAACGATCAGGGCATGCTGTGACAAATCGTAATGTCACGAGGTGCGACCTCGCGATGACATCGGAACCGCACCGAAAAAGGATGTTCTTGCGCACGCTTCGCAGGTTCAGTGGTAGCTGCTTGCACTGCTTGCACATCATTAAACATCTGATGCCCGTGCTTTCGGAACGTCTCAACGTGTGCATGTGTGTATGTGTGCCAAGTTCTCAACATCTGTCCACACCAGCTGGCAACAGTTGGTAACAGCAGCTGGCAACAGCCGTGTACACGCACCACCGACGCTTCTACCCAGTTATTGCGATTGCTTCTCCATGGTCCAAGGACTGGCCACCAGTCGACCAGCCTGATCCTGGCATTACCTGGTGTGAGTTCACCATTTCTTGTAGAATAACTCTCTCCACAGGTGCAAATGCTACCTGAGGAAATGCGCTCACCTATGAAACAAGCTGAAAGCGTTCACCTTTTGACAGCCAAATGGGTGAAGCACAACTCCTTCCTTATGCAAAACCAGGGGCCACGAGCCTTCAGTTCTTGAGTTTCAAATATTGGAGGCTTTTCTCGCCGCCTCGGACGTGACCGGTATCCTCAAAAAGGACCAGGAAGCAGAGCAATAGCGTGCGCCATGAAGCAGAGCAAATGCCCCTTTCGTTGTGGACTGCGTGTCTTCCTTTCATCCAATACCAACAAAGGTGGCACTCTACCAAGATCTCCCTCCAAAGGGAAAGACAGATTTTAAAGAAGTACGCAAATGTACCGTCAATTAACGGAAAAAAAAGCCATTCGGTGCAACTGCACCAGGTTCGGTTTGCGTGCAGTCGTTGCGATTTGGGTTTTCACGTAATCATATCTCTATCGTTTCATCTGTGTACTTCGATATGGACAAACATGCCCTCCACACCTGCCTAAGCCAAGGGGTGCGGAAGCACAGATTTGCCTGTGTGTCATCGCGTGTACACGCACCACTTCACCACGGGCAGAAACGTAGCACTTCACCACCAGTTCAAACCTATCTAGCACCATCGGTGTTGAGCTACAGACTCATTCGTGTGACCTCACCACCGGTTAGAAAATTCCGCATCGCCACCAGCATCGCGCATCTTATGTGCACCATCCATGACTGTTGACTCCCGACAGCATCCGCCAGCACCGACCCCCACCTTAAGAATGAAGTGAAGAAAAATGGCGGCGAATGTAGATCGATGATCGATGTGCAATAGCACTATGCGTGCAAATGCAACACTAGACCAATGAAATGCGACACTATGTACATGCAACGCAGTGTATATCCAATGCAATGTTGTGTACGAGCAACCCCCGTGCCCAACAAGCGACAACTGGGTCTTCTTTGGATCAAGGAAACCTCCCTGGATTCTTAGCATACTGGAGGAAGCTGGGCTGAAGTTGATTTCCTCGGTTCATTCTCACCAACTGACTTCATCATCGGCATCCCAGTTCTCCTCCACAGGTGGCCCCCCGGCTCCGTACCTTGATGCCTTCATTCTTGATCTTTTCCCACCCGTCCTGGCGCGCAAAGCACGTGCTTTTCAGCAGAAAGGAAAGGGACCTTCGTGCTTTTCAGCTTTAGCACGACATTTGCCCCATTTGCCCCATTCCGCGTGGAAAATCCCCCTTCAGCCCTTCAGCCGCGTGGAACATCGGCTGGAAACTGGGCGCAGGCGCCTCTAAAGGGACGATGCTGGCAATGGACCTCGGTGAGCGGCCCTTCAGCTGAGCGTAGCTCGTTCCAAACACGGCCACCGAAGCAAACGGAAACGCAAACGCGGCTCATCAGACCCGGAAGCAAGGGCAAAAGAGAGCAGACCAGAAAGACTCATCTGCAGTACTGAAAAAGGCCACTTGTCCATCAAGGTCCCATATTCTTCCAGTGCCCTGGCGGTAAGGGATGAAAAGGCCATTGGTTTCGACCAAGACCGGTGCCCGCTCTCGTCACTCCTCAGCTCCGCACATGCCGCTCACGTCAACCGACTGTGAGTGCCGTACATATCAAAGCAACTCTGCTCAGCCAAAATAGCCACGGGGATGATGTGGTCGATCTCTTTACTTTATAAACAGGCAAGCTGTAGACGTACTACACATATCTCGAAATGGCACCACCTGGTGTGGCAGGCTGCGATTTGACCCTCAGCTTCCGGATGGAGGTCCAACTCACTGCCTAGTCTGCAAGTAAAAGAGATTGCTAGCTTGTCCCACACTCGCCGTTGACATCTCCTAGGGAAAAAGAATCTAAGAACATCTGAGTCTACCGGTCTACCTTCACCTTTTGAACAGCAGCGCGCCACGGTCAACGGGCAGCAATCGAGGCCGCCCCTTTTGCGTACCGCGTTCGGTTCGTACATCGACCTCACATTCGCTCCGTACTAGTACGGCTCGACAGGGACGAGGAGACCGTCTACCAAGGCGCGATTCATTCTTCGTGAACACAACAGTGGGTTTGAGTTTCTGGCATCGCCGCAACGCGACAGGAATTCGGCAACTCTCATCACATCTGCCATGTCTTCACCCGCGCCTTCACCTGGCCAAGAAGCCACGCCGGCGCACCTGGGACGTGGCATCGGCTATCCATTGTTCTTCACATCCGATCTTTGCACTTCAGATGTTCGGACTGCGACCCCATCCCCCCGAACCATTTCAATCAGTCTCCACCCCGAATCTCACGTCCGCGCTCCACACCGATGCACACCGAGGCACACCGGCCTCCTTCCGAAACGCCAGGCGACGCGGCTGTCAACGTGCGCGCCTGCAGAAAGGAGAATTCGGCCCCTTGGAGCACTGCTTTGGCTCGGTCCAGGGACCTCACAGCGAGGCGGGACTGGGCGCGGGGCGGGCTTGGCTTGGAGAGAGGGTGAAGATCTGAAAGGTCTCTTCCGGGATGGGGTGAAACAGGTGAAACATGGAGAACACTGAAGAGCAACAAGCTAGCAAGTGGTCAAAAAAGGGTGTCCGGACTCCCTCACTGTTGTCCAACTGATGAAGGCTCTCCAAAAAAGAAGTTGAGAAGTTGAATGGAACCAGTGAGAGATCAATGGGTTGACGCACCACAACGCGATTGAAAAATTGGAACTGCCGTGTGTGTTGAGCAGTAGGATGCCTTTTATCGATCGTGAAAGCCAAGCCTGGAAACCCAAACAACCAGAAACAAATTGTTCCAATAATATGGCGATTAAGATCCCTTACATAACAATGGTTGTTTCTGATTGTTTGGGTTTCCAGGAGTATATATTTGAAAATCCCAACCTCCTAAGCCATCCGTTGACTCATTGACCTCAGCGGCTCTAGGTGTCCAAGCCATCCTTCGAACCACTTGAGGCTCTGGGTCGCCCCGCTCCACCTCCTCTTCACGTGCCTCGGAGCGGGCCTCAGCGACCAAGGCAAACGACTGATTTTAGCGATTTCGTTCCGCCCCTGCCCTTGGCCATCGGACGCATTCTTGAAACCAAAAGAACAAGGGGACACCATCACTAAGAGGAAGCATTGAGACAGTCTCTCAAAAAACTTCGTGATCAGTACAATTGGATCAGAGAGAGAGAGAGAATGGCACCTGATAAGCTTTGTGGAACTCCGGCGCCTGGAAGTTCGAGAGGAGCCAGTCGCATTCGTCGTGGAGGTTCTTGATCTCAGATGGAGGTGTGGCTCTCCCAAAATGAAGAAGGCACGGGTTTGATTGAGACGCTGTTGGTGCGAAACATTCGAAACAGCTTGAGCTGGAGAACGAAAGAAAGATTGAGGAACTTGATGACAGAGTTCCCTGAAAACAGGGAAGCTCTGCTAAAAACACGGGTTCTCCTGAGCGACCCAAACGTAGTCCTCAGTTGCACTGAGCTCCTTCAGGGAAGCTTTGCTCAAAAGGGATGACACGTGTGCTTCAGGCACCAAGGCCGCCTCCTCTTGGAAAGGTTGATTCATGATCCAAAATTCATCACAATCAACTGAGTCCAACCAATGAACCATTGGAACTTTTGGACGGGTCCCCGACGGTTGAGCGAGGTTTCTCATACCATTGCTTGGCGGTTATTCACTTTTAAGGGGCGTCCAAACGCTACTTCGATACAGGTGTGATACACCCCTAGACGCCGAAGGTATTCTTCCATTCTTCCTGAGAATGCCGACTTTGTTTTGCCCCGCTACCTGTGACTCGCTCCGGCGACGTGGTCGCATCAACGGAAGCAAGCTTCGTTTGAGGTCTTCGCATCAGCCTCCACTGAGCCGTTCGCCCACGAAACCACGAGCTCAGCTCTTGGGTCTCATGGGCTCGACTCTGGGCGCAGTCGGCTGTGTCGGCTCTCCTTCTTCACATTGGCCTTGCCCTCCTTCAAGACTTGCAGGTCAGAGGAGACATCGGCCTCACAGCAAGACGCTGACGCAATGGCAGCTCCGAGTACACGCAAGTATGTTGCTGCGCCAAAGGTTAGCCACCCATTGTTGTTTGTTTCGTCACACCAACTGGGGATCTGCTGAACCATATCCATCTCGACACATACCCATCTCGAGACGGAGGGGAATAGATCACTAGACACGGGCGCTCTTTTTCACGAATGCTTCGCCAAGAAACACAACGACGTCTCTTTCATCCACCACCACCGTTCTCCAGGAGATATCAACCGTTCTCCTGATTTGGAGGCCCTGGAGCCCCGAAAACACCAAAAACTAAAGGAAGATGGAAGCCACGACAGGCCCACCTTCCGTGCAGTCTTCTTGGCGACGCTTTGCGAATCACTCTCACGCTTCTTGCTTCTGTCCTGGTGCCGTTTGTGGGGGCGGAACACTCATGTGGTGAGTGCCACCAATTTCCTGGAAGGAACTTGGGCCTCCTGGGATCGGTGAAGGTGCAAGAAGTGGTTCGGCGGAAGCAAGCGGACAGTACCAGGACCCAAAAAAAAACTTCAAAAACACCCAGTCATGGCTTTCCGACGGAAAACCATACACACGATGCTCTGCAAGGTCTCTGTTTCCTGTGGCGTTGTCATTTTTTGGCAGCTGTTTTGGCGTCTTGGAATGATCCTCAACCTTCCACGGAAAGAATCCTGTCGTGTTCTATGTATCCCAAGCGGTGACAAGGGCAATCCGGAGTACCGTTGTCTGAAATTGCGTTTCTGCGTTGGTTTGCCATTAACAATGCAACCTGTCCTGCATGATCTTTTCATATCCTTTTTGATCCTCCTGCTCTTCCGTCTCAGCCTCTCTCAAGAAACGCCCCGGGCCCCGACCCACCGGAAAGTGGAAGTTCCAAGTCAAAAGGCACCGGTCAGATGGACTTGGAACCAATCCTCCTGACTCACATGAGAAGAAAGTGTATCAAGTCATTCAAATGATGAGACCCTTGGTGCACTGGACTCAACTACAAATTCAGAGGTCTCCACATGTGTGGATCATCAACAAGTGCTGTTGGTGGTGAGTCATAAGCACAATGATACAGCCAGATTTAGCCCATGGATGAGATGTACCGGAAGTCCTGCGGCAGCACGACGTGCTCCCCGTTCCCATCACTTCCCCGAATCTTCCACCTGGGACATCTGATGTTCCTCAGAGAAGTGCAGGGACGGAGGGTCCAAAACAAAACCTTGAATACTTGCCAAGGAAAAAATCTTGAGAGTTCCTAAGAATTTTGGGCGACTGGATGAGCTTGTCAGGTTTGGTCCCAACAAACCAATTGAGCCAAATGAGTGGAAGATCTACTTTTCTTTGTGCTCGCTTCTTTTAGGCTGAAGATTCCAATCTGTTCTCCAGCGGCCGAGGTGCAATGTCACGGATGAGGGCATCCAAAAGCACAAAGACCCCGGCAGCCTGCGGGTTCCGCCGGAATCGGAAGGGAAAATATCGTTATGTAATTTATCCGTACTCGTTCCATGTCTACTCCACATGAAATCAAGCGAACTGTTCAAGGAAACTGCGACGGGGTTGTTTGGGTCTGTCCAATCAGTGTGGTCGCGCAATGTCGCACTAAGAGTTTTTACGGTAGTCGTTGAGGCTGGGTTTGATAGAGGTTGCTCACATCCATCGGCAGCTATTTCACTGCCGACAGCAGATTCATGCCCCCTAGAGATTTTCGAAGTGCCTTTCGACTGCGCAGGGTCACAAACGGGTGGGCTGGACCGGGTGCTTTCCTCGACTGCACTCTCGTTGTGCTGTACATTTTCAGAATTGGTGGATCTGAAGTTGCCTTTTCGTAGCAGGTGCCGGAGATCCGAGCCATTTTACTTCGATGCGCACGACACTTTGTGGCATGGTGGTGATCTTTGGCGTGCTCTGATTTCGTGGCAGGTGCAGTGAGTGAACTTTGGACATGTGGCTTGTTTGCTGGAGTCAGGACACGTATCGCGCAAGTGCTTCGTTTTGGCATCCCGAACTTGTCCTTGGAGGTGCTTGTTGCGAAACACACTCGCAAATGTGAATCTTGATGTGCGGAATTCATGGCAGGGGCAGCACTTTGTGAACGTCTTCGTAGCAAGCAAAGCACTTTGTTAACCGCGAAGATGTGCTCTCACAGGTGTGCTCACACATGTGCTCTCTCATGTGTGTGTGTGTGTGCTCTCATATGTGTGCTCTGACATGTGTGTGTGTGCTCATTTTTAGGTATGCTCTCATGTGTGTGTGTGTGTGTGTTTGTGCTCTCTCATGCGTGTGCTCTCGTTTGTTTGCTCATCATATGTGAGCTCTCATATGTGTGTTCTCATATGCGTGCTTTGACCTGTGTGCTCCATTATGAGTGCTCTAGGGTGCAGAGATTCCTTTGCTCACCCTTGTCTTGTTCTACTAAACACGGCTGGGGTCTCTTTCCGAGAATGGCAGAGGGAGTCTGGACGATTCGCAAGCTCGCAGGCTGTCTGTGAGTCTGGAAGAAGGCAAGCCACCCACCAAGAGATGGATGTAGCTTCAAGATGTTTAGGGCCCAAGCCCAAAGCATGCAATTTGAGCCAAATCCAAAGAGGACACACAGCATACCAACCGCTTTTCACTGTCCAGCCTCGTCGGCTTTGTGATAGTCGTCGAAGGTCTCAGGCGCCTCTTCGTAGTCACGCGGCGCGTCGGGTGCCGTCCGTCGGAGCCTGATGGATGTGCCAGCTTGTGGGACATACACGAGACATCCGAGAGAAAAAAGGGTAAGCAGGTGAACTCCTGTCATAGCTAGTTGAGCAAGAAGCCGATCTGAACCACTATGTCGGATACAAATGCCAGGAGCCGTGAAGTTACGATCTCCAAGATATGTCAAGTCGGCCGAGAGTGTAGAAACCTCAAACCTTCGAAGGGCACAAATCAATCGAACGAGTACAACCAAACACATGGCTTGAAGTTAATCAGTACTTTCAGTGGCCTGATCCTACACAGACCGTGTACAAATCCTTTATCAAAAGTGTACTGCCTGGTGGTTCACATCAACATACATATGATTCCATGATCGATACAAGATAAAATTTGAAGAAAAAACAATGGAGATAGGACGTCAAAGGGTTTTTTTCAACAAGTCTGAGTTCGCAAGCACCGTCCCTTTCTTCTCAGCACAAGAATCGCTCAAGTAACACGGCCGCCCTGACTGTGGCATGGCTCGTGCGGCATCACTCGGGAACGAAAGCCGGCTCCTTTCAGAAATGGCTTTAAAAAGGTCGAGACTCGGTCGGTGTGGCTCAACGATGTTGATCAAACATGCTGGAAAAGTGAATGAGTCAAAAATCTATCCGCCAGTTCAAGGGAGGCCATCATGTTTGAGTCTTACCCCTAAACTACCCAAATCTATCTAAAGGCCACTTTGAACCAACCAGGGCCTTTCCAACGGCCACAACTCTGAGCTCCGCCACCCGGTGCCACGTGCAGCCCTCAGTCGTACTCTGTGGCATTGCGCCTCAAGATGTCCTGTCGCAAACTTTCTTTTGGCTTTGCGCTTCCCAAAGGCTTCCCCACAAATAGTTGGGGATCTTCAAAAAAAACAACTGTTTGAAGTGATGAAAACCATCCATTCCTTCCATTCCTTCCTTCCCTCCTATCACCAACCACCCCCCCTAATTGAGCCAGTCCTCCAAAGGGCCCAGCAGCCGATCGAAGGTCCTCCGGCTGAGCGCCAAGCAGCGGCACGTGGAGCTGGCGGTCACCGTCGCGGCGCGGAGGTCATTGTTCAGCAGGGCCAGCTCACCGAAGTAGTCTCCATGTGCCAACCTGACGTTCGGTTCAAGGTAGATCACCCCATTCTATTAAGTAGGAAAAAAATAAGGAGCTCTAGGGAGTCTAGGTATTATCTTCTAACAGGGAAAGTATCTAAAGATGTCTAAAAGCATCGTTCTGAAGTGCCATGTGGTGTGCAACAGAAGGAAGGTGTTTGTTGGGGAGAGTGTAGCGACTTTGCAAGCATTGTTCTGTGTGGATGCAATTGGCAGAATGAAGCGGCAACAGCCAACCCGCATTATACCAGCAATGTTGCAAATCAGTCTTGATGACAAGCAAAATCTGAAAGGCCCAAGAAGGGTCATGGGCCACGATGTGATGTAAGATTCTTTCATGTGATTCCTGAGTTGTGGGAGCAAATCCACTGCCGGACAATGGCAAGCTGGTAGAGATCTGGGAGAATCTGAGGTGTCGGGTTGCTTGGGAGGTTGGGGTTGGGTCTGGGGCAGCCACTTCTACATTCTACAACGACGTATTTCAGCGTGCACGCTACAAGAAGTTTAAAAACTTGGGAGCCCCGGAGCAAATCCAAACGTAGAAATTACTTTTTTGTAAGAATAATAAACAATTAGTACATGCCAGGGAAAATCACTGCACCTTTGGCCAATTGTTTTAAAAGGACCTCCACAGCACCTCCACATCCACAGCAGAGAGATGCTCCATCCACAGCCCTCGCCTCAACACTTCTTTCGCTGGTGTGCCAGGCACATAGACTTTGGAGACCACAGCAGTTCCCTCCTGTGGAGACCACACCCGGCACATTCGCTTGCGAACCATCTGAACATCCGACCCCACTGCAGGAAACCCTGAATATCCTCGCAAGATTGCTGGCTTCCTCTCACAAAAAGGAGCTGCTTGTTCCAGCAGTTCTTAATGGTTCCAAACCAATGAACTTCCCCAAAACAGCTGCGGATCATTGATCCCCCACCTCACGAGGTCAGGTCGGTCTCAGCAGCTCTCAGCTCTGTCCTCAACGAGGTAAAAGGTCTCACCGATCTCGCCCTGGTGGACGATGACCTCACCTTCACAGAAGGTCACCGGCCGCAAGGCATCGCACACGGCACTTCTCTCATGGACCTCAGGGTACTGTCAGGACACCAAGGGTGCGAGCAGGGGTCCCGCATGGTGACAGCAGGGGGAAGATCCGGTGGTGTGTGGCAGGTGGAGCCAAAGGGTTGTGGTTCAAAACAACAGATCCAGAGACTCTTTTTTCAGACTCCAGTGCATCGGGCATCCGACCTCCATCGTCTGTAGGAGTGGCACCTTCTGCAAAAACTCCTCCAACTGCTCTCGATGAGCAGCTGCAGCCTTCTTGACCTCAAGATGTTTGATGTGTTTATGATGTTCATGTCGCAACACGGCAGAAGAAAAACAAAAACGACCAACGTGCGGAAAGCACCTGCAGCAAACCCAAATGACCTCCTCTCGCATGCGGCTGCGCATCGCGAGGTCAGGAGTCAGTTTCTGTCTGAGCCTCCCGGCGATGTTGTTGAAGCTTTCACGGTCCAACATCCATAGAACTGACCTGAAAGCATCCGACCAAGCTGCTCGGCCAAAATCAGCTGGGCCAAGGTGCTCGCAAAATCAAAGACAACAGAGTGGATACTTCACTTGTCTCAGAAGAAGGCTCCTTTCCCATTGAGAGTGTGATGTTTGATGATGTTTCTGTCCTGTATTCAGCTGTTGCATTCTGGTTGATTCTTTGCAAAACGGGAGAAGGGTCACTCAAGATCTCACCCTTGAGAGTCACTTGATTGAGCGAGAGAAGAACCAGTGTTTGGGATTGTTGTTGCGGGTGGGCACTCACGGCATATGGCTAAAGGGGATCTTCACTTATGGAGGATTATGGAGGTATCAAGTCATGCACTTGGTGGAGATGTCAATTCCTCTCTCGTAGCCTGCCATCAATCAAACTTGGCTGGAGTTTCTAGCTCCCAACCTCACAGTCAGTCCCCAAGTTCACTATGACCCCAGCTCCCACCCCACCTCTACCCACGTCCCACCCACGTCCCACGTCGTCCCACGCCTCTCGCCAGCTTCCACAGAGGCAGCCCTGGGGCAGTTGTAGAGCAAGGCCAGCTCACCAAAGGCATCGCCCGCCGTGCACTCCTGCGGTTTGCGTCATTCGAATCGGATGTGGTCTTTTTGTCATCCGAAAGACGGAGGATTTGCTCCTTTGCACTGCACCAAACTTCATCGTTCAAAGCTCCACATTTATAGTGGATTGAGAGTAGATGGCACAGACCCCAAGAGGTGGTTTATATGAACCCCCATGTAAAGGACATCTTGAGGTCTGTGCCATCTACTCTGAAACCACTGTATATACGGCTGCTTTGACTTGAGGCTTGGGAGATCCCTTGAGGATGAACAATGAACATACTGTATATAGCAGGAAGCTGGACTTCTGATGGGACATTCAAGCAATCTGCTGAGTAAAAGACATCGGTCTTCCCTTTTCTGGCCACGGCGAAATGACGTGAGAGCCCCTGAGTGCAATTGCCTTGGATGATCATCCGGATTCAGTTGGGACATCCCAAATCGCACTCAGATGTTGGTCGCCCAACCGATTTACCATGCTTAAACACAACGCAAAAGAGCTTTTGTCACAAAGGGCAAGGGTCATCCCTTTTGTCACATTCTCGTCACTTCGTTCACTTCTCTCCTTCACTTTTCGTTCACCTCCATCCGGCTGACGGATGAAGCAATTCATTTGCCCATGCTCCACCACGTAGAGGCAATCCTCAAGACCAGCAGTCTATCGAAGGTCTTTTTGAGTTGTGCAAGCGAAAGGGGCGCGGGAGGGGGTGCTAATCCAATTCGTTCCATGGTTTCGACACATCGCCATCGAACAATTGCCCCTGATACTGAATTCCATCCCCAAGAGCCGTTCTGTATTCATTTGCACTTTGCAAATCGTTTTTGCTGCATCTGTACGATATCATAGGATACCTACGTTGTAATACATGATACAGTCATACATCTCGACAGAGGCCTGTTGGTCCCAGTGTCCATCCCTTTGATCCCGTGAAGCGTTGTTGGATGTTCCGCCAACACATTGACAAAGGAACTGCTATTCCAGCCATACAATGATTGCATAAAGGTGTGAGGGATGCCGGGATGCCTCTTCAGGCACTCAGAATGCCTGAAGAGGAAATCGTTCAATGAACAAAGTCGTTCTTCTCCCATGCTGGCCCATGCTTCCAAATTCTGCTGTTGTAACTTGTACATCCACAGTGGCGTATGGTCGTCTCAAGGTGACAGAGTCGACTGTGCGAGCGCGGTAGAACAAAGTCTCATTGTGCATGCGCGGTAGCAGCGCACGCGCGCATGCTCAATGAGACTCTCCACCTTGAGTCAAGAGTCCCCATCATCCCCTTGATTGATCAGGCGGGTGCCCTTCTCCACAATCTTCTCCTGAACCATCCACGAAAGCATCGCCCTCTCCGGCAAGCTTGGCTACAAGATCCTACCACAGAATCGACACCTCATGGGCCTGGAAGATGATGTTTCGTTTTTCGCCAGAAATACTTCCTTTTTGAATGATTCTTTCAGCGAGACCAAAACGGATGATCGAAGGCATGTGGAGGTGCCAAGAGGTTTCAGTGACGCTCTGGATCATCCTGCAAGGGTACCCTAGGCCCTATGCCACACAAACCTGCATCCGTATTAAATCTTGTTGATATCCTCATATAGAATATATAGAGCGGCAAAGATTCAAAGTACTACCTCTGGCCCTCTGGCATCTGCACAAAATTCTTCCACCTCGTTGCCGTTTCCAATTCAAGAAAAAGAAAGAAGCATCATAACATGCATAACATCCCCCCCAAAAAGTTCCCACCAGCCCCCAGC